TTTTGAATCCAATTTATAAATTATACTCTGGACATCTTATAGCCTGGTTCCACCCAATTTGCTAACTATTCCCTGCCCGCCCCTCCCCCCCACCTTATAAAGATAATCTTCAGTCCATATTGCACCTCCCCTGGTGCTTAATACTAAAACTTACAACTTATGTTTTTGGAGTGCTTAATATGTGCCAGACATTTTTCCAATTTGTTTATATTTTCTCATTCATTTGATTTGTGCAATACACCTATAATTTGGGAACTGTCATTTTCCCTCATTTTAAAGATGAGAATTCAGTGACACAGAGATATTAAATAATTTCCCCCACTTTATAGAGCCAACAAAAGGCAGATCTGTGATCTTCATTCAGAGTCCAGCTCCACAGTATGTACTTTTAATCACTACACTACACTGCTCCACCCGCAGTGTTTATATAATATTATTGATGTGTTTTGTTTTATATTAATAGGTGATTACTAGAATGTAAGCTCCTCAAGGGATCTGTTTCATTCAGTATGTGTCCAAATTCCTAGAATAGTCCCTGGCACACAATAGGAACTTTAGCATTCCATATTAAGTAAAGGTTGTGTAAATGTGATATATTAGTACAATTGAATATTTGTCATTTGATATATATTGATCTCTTTATATATTGATCTATAAATATACACACACACATATATATAAGAGAGAGATCTATAAACATATTCACAAATATATATGTAGATTCATCTATTATCTATAGACCTATAGACAGACTGTGCCCACTATCCCCTCTCGATGTCTTCCAACTGATGGACCCTCTAGTTTAACTTCCACAATCAAACACAAAATTTGCTTATAGCAGGGTGATTATCAGGATGGAAATTGACCCTTTTCAAGAAAGATAACACTGTTCTCACTCTCTTGGGGTTTCTGTGAGGAAAATGTTACCACTAGTCAGTCTTTCTCTTAAGAACACCCTGAGGATCATATACACCTGATATCATATATTTATGTGCATAATATGTTAACATGATTATTCAACAGAGATCAAAAGGCTACTAGTGAAAGTTGCACTTCACAACACCTACTGAGGAGATAGGACACACTTTGGTCAGTAAATAAAGGAGGTCAGGAGTGATGTCACCAAGATGGTGGGATGTGAGGCTCTTGACATTCTCTCCTCCCAGGGACACACTCAGAGGGGGCAGTTCCCTCTGAGAGAAATCCAGAAACTTGCAGAGCAACTTCTACACATTAGGTGAATGAGAAGAGTCACAATGAAATGGATAGGAAGGGCTAAGATATGCTTGCCATAAACCCCACCCCAGCACAGAACCTTACAATCAGGAGGGAACCCCCAACTCCCAGTTTCTTCCTGAGAAGCAAAGGCTAGACCACATATCTAGTACCCAGTTTTAAGGCTACCACACAAGGGATAGGCCCCCAAATCACCTTTCTCTGAGAGCCAGTGTGGCTTGGCATACATGAATCTCACAGGGCCACATCAAACAAAGAAGCAGTTTTAAAATGGGTGCGTGAGCATTTTTTTTGCAGCTATCCCTTCCAGGCTCAGCATAGAAGGAGCAGGCAAAATGCCATCTCCCAGTTTCTCCCTGGAAAGGATTTGACCATATACTTTCCCAGCTGCTGCCTTAGGTTCTGGCTTCTAAACAACTTACATGTGGGAGCTCACTGGGATATTCCCAGCAACCTAAAAGAGCTGGTGGATATATCTTCTGCTTTCTCTCCTCGGATAACTGCAGTAATAAAACAAAGGCTCCAGCTTCTTCCTGAAAGGAGTTTGTCTACAGATGTACCACCTCATCACCTTATCTCTATCCTTTTTTTTTTTAGTACCTCTTCTTCTAAGGCTGCCCTTTGAGGGACTGACTTCTAAATTACCTAGCTTTGGGAACCAAAGAGGTTCAGCATTCATGAATCCCTCAGGAACACACAAAATAAAGAGGTAGCTCTTACAAAAGCATTCCCAGAGGCTATCCCCTCTGGCTTAGCACAGAGTAAGTAGGCAAAAACAGCCAGTTCCCAGTTTCTCTCTGATAGGAGCTAGATTGTAATATCTTGACTTTTCCAGGTGCTGCCTGGAGGTTGGGCTTCTAATTAGCTTGCATTGGAAGCTGAAGGGGCTGGCACATAATAGTTCTCTGGGAGCCTAAACAAGCATGTGGGCAATTCCCTAATCTCCTGGAAACCACAAAAAGCAAAGACAGGGGTTTGCACAAACACAGAGGCTTGAGGAAAATAAAGGCTCAGGTCAAGCTTATTGACAAAGATTATTTCCTACATGAGGCAAGTCTGTCAAGACTGGGAGACATGGCTGTTTTAGCTAATGTGCAAAAACCAGTACAGAGAGTTAAGGAAAATAAAGAATAGAGGAATATGTTCCAAACAAACAAACAAACAAACAAACAAAGATAAATGTCCAGAAACCAATCTTAATGAAACATAGATAAGTAATTTACCTGACAGAGAGTTTCAAATAATGATTATAAAGATGCTCACCAAGGTCAGGAAAGCAATGCATGAACAAAGTGAACATTTCAATAAAAAGACAGAATATATTTTAAAAGTACCAAACAAATCACAATAACTAAACTGAAAAATTCAACAGAGTGATTCAACAATAGCCAAGATCAGATGGAGAAAAGGATCAGCAAACTCAAAGATCGGTCAGTGGAAATAATCTAATCAGAGGAGCAAAAATAAAAAAATAACTAAAAAGAGTGAAAATAGCTTAACCAATTTATGGAACACAATCAAATGGACCAATATACCTATTATAGGTATCCCAGAAGGAGAAAAGAGAGAGAATAGCACAGAAATGTGTTCAAAATAATAATGGCTAAAAACTTCCCAAACTTGGGGAAAGAAACAAACACTAAAATCCAGGAAACCCAAAGAGAACCAAAAAAATAAATAAATAAAAATAATCCAAAGAGATCCACACCAAGACACATTATAATTTAATTGTTAAAAAGTAAAGACAAAGAGTTTTAAACACAGCAAAAGAAAAGTGACTTTTACATAGAAGAAAACCCTAATAAGACTACAAGCAGATTTTTTTCAGCAGAAACCTTGCATGCTTGAAGGGAGTGGAATGATATATTCAAAGTGCTGAAAGAAAAACAACTGCCAGCTAAGAACTGCTTTACCCATGAAAGTTTCCTTCAGAACTTGAGGGGAGATGGATTTTCCCAGGCAAACAAAAGCTGAAGGAGTTCATTACCACTAGAGCAGCCTTACAACAAATGTTAAAAGAATTTCTTCAAGCTGAAAGATACTCAGTACAAATGGAAACCAAAAGAGAGCAGGAATAGCTTTACTTATATCAGGCCAAATAGACTTTAAGTCAAAATATATAAGGAACTCATATGGCTCAAGAGCAAAATAAAACAAAACCCCATATAATCCAACCAAAAAATAAGCAGAGGACCTGAAAAGACATTTTTTCTGAAGAAGACACACAAATGGCCAACAGGTACATGAAAAGATGCTCATCACTAATCATCAGGTTAGGCAAATCAAAACCACAGTGAGATATTACCTTCATCTGTCAGGGTTTGTGTTACCAAAACAAGAGATAAGGAGGCTAGCAAGGATGTGGAGAAAAGGGAACCCTTGTGCACTGTTGGTAGGAATGTAAATCATTACAGCCACTATAGAAAACAGTGTGGAGGTTCCTCAAGAAATTAAAAATAGAACTTCAATATGATTCAGCAATCCTACTTCTGGGTATATAGATCCAAAGGAAATGAAATCACTACCTAGGAAAGTTTTCTGCATTCCCACGTTCACCACATTGTTCACAACAGCCAACTTATGGAAACAAGCTAAGTGTCCATTGACAGATTAATGGATAAAAATGATGTGATGCACACACACACACACACACACACACTGGAATATTATTCAGCCATAAAATAACAAGGAAATCCTGCCATTTGTGTCAACATGGATGAATCTGGAGGGCATTATATTAGTGAAATGAGTCAGACAGATAAAGACAAATACTATGGTATCACTTATATGTGGAATCTTAAAAAAAAAAAAAAGTCGAGCTCATAGAAACATGAGTGGTTTCTATGAGTTGAAAAATGGTGGTTGCCAGGGGCTGGGATGTGGATGGCATAGGGAGAGGCCTGTAAAAGCGTTCAAACTTTCAGTCTTAAGATGAGTTAAGTGCTAAGGACCTAATATATAGCATGGTGATTATTGTTGGTAATTCTGTAATGTGTCACTAAAATTTGCTAAGAGATTAGATCTTTTTAAAAAATTTTTATTGTTATGTTAATCACCATACATTACATCATTAGTTTTTGATGTAGTGTTCCATGATTCATTGTTTGTGTATAACACCCAGTGCTCCATGCAGAGCGTGCCTTCTTTAATACCCATCACCAGGCTAACCCATCCTCCCACCCCCCTCCCCTCTAGAACCCTCAGTTTGTTTTTCAGAGTCCATCATCGCTAAGAGATTAGATCTTAAGTGTTCTCTCACACACACACAAAAGTAAGTATATGAAATAATGAAAGTATTAACTTGGTTGCAGGAGGCCTTTCACAATGTATATTTGTATATATGTATATATTACCACGTTTTGTACTTTAAATATATTACAATTTTATTTGTCAATTATACCTCAGTGAAGCTGGTTGAGGGTGGGGGGGCCGGGAGAGGGAGGGTAAAGAAAAGAGAGAGGATAATTACACTATACCCTTAAGATAATGCCACATCTTGGCAAAAGTGTCAGGATATGCTCATTAGCAATACTCTGCTTGTAAGATAGGAGTTCCAGGAGAAGCATTAGGGCAGAATGCAGCTGAATAGTGTCACTGTAGGAAACTGAACAAGACCAGGGTCCACTACAGGAAGGTCTGGCCATGCCAGGTCTGCTGGACCCAAAGGGGAGTCCATGAGTGGTTTAAGAGCAGGGACTGTGGTGGTTCTGTTGACCATTTGTACTGCTTCCCAGAGCCCAGACAACACACACCACTTTACTGCTAATTACAATTTATTCTTTCTCTCTGCCCACCATCCACTCTTCCTGCCACATCAGCCCACCAAACACTGTTTTGTGTTCAGGACTGCTTCACAGAGGCACACAGTACCACTGGTTCCAGTCACAGGGCAAGGTGATATGATTCAGACTGTGACTCATTTTCTGTATGATTTTGTTGGTTACAAATGTATGGTAATAGGTAGGGTAGTCAAGTTTGTCCAGAGCATGGATGTGAACATCCATGAGATAGGAGATGAGACCCTTGTCCCGGTACTCAGGCAGAGTACCCCCCATCCGTATCTCACTTGTCTGGTCCATCAGGCTCCAAGACACAGGGGTCCCCTGGGGCCCCAGAAGGCAGAAGGTGGGGAAGTTCTGGATACAGCGCTCAATGAATCTCTGGCTCCTGTCATTGCCCCCAAAATGCCAGAATTTATTCACCAAGGCAGCGTGAGTAACGTCCATGGAGGAGAGTTTAAACATCTCTTGGTTGCTGTTGAGAACAAGGTAAAAGAGCACCCCATAATATCACACATACTGTGGAGTATTATATTTGTTTTCCCCAAAATTGTCTTCAGACAATGCAAATTGGAACACAGTAAAGGCATAAATTCTGCAGCCAGGTTGCATGAATTCATAATCTTTTTATAAAATGGAGATATTAACACAGTGGTGATATTAGTAGCACCTCTGTTAAATAGTATAAGAGCTATCACATGATAAGTACCTAGGACTTGTGCCACACAAAAAATAAGAATTACACAAAAATAAAGCATTATTTTTGTCAACATTGCTGTTACTCTCCACTTATTGATGGGAGAATTGATAACATTCCTGTTCTACACATAAGAATAGGTAAGCAGAAAATAAGCAAGTGCCTCAAAGCATATGCTAGCAAGCTATGAAGCCAGAACTTGGAATCTTGTAATCCTGGAATCTTTGGATTCTCCTTGGCCACTGTGGGAGAGCTGAAGTCCAGGGAGAGGCAGGGATGTGGAGTGCAGGCAGCCCCCGTCTTACAGAACATTGAAGTCTGAAGGCTACTGCAGTGGTGGAGAAGTGTTGGGGAGGTGTCCTGGAAAGAGCCCACAATGTGGAAGCAGGAAATGTAGACATGAGCCCCAGTTATGCCCTTAACCATCCATGTGACCTGAACAAGCTGTTTCATCAACTGGACCTGTTTTCCATCAGGAAAATGGGGATAATGTCTCCTACCTTCTCTATCTCATGGGATGGGCAAGACAATCAAATTAGATTATAGACTTGGATGTGTCTTTCAGATATAAGGTGCAATACAGTGTGAATAAGGCTTTTCCAGGCATATTAACACACAAGAGGGCCATAGGATTGGACATCTCCAGATCAAATCCCTGTATCAGTTTTAATTCTATTCAGGCATAAGTGGAGGGAAATATATAATATGTTTAAATTCTTTTTATTGGAAAACTTTTGCTCTGAGAAGTAAATTCATTGCATATTTATGAGGCATCTACTTTGTTTTCTGTTCTGGCTACTGAAAACTTATTGGTGAACAATATAAAGAGTGTCCCCTGATCTTGTGGAGTTTGAATTGTTGCAAGGGAAGAATCAAACAACAAATAGGTCAATAAATACACAAATAAGCTGATTTCAGATAGTGATAAGTGCACTGAGGAAAATAAAAATTGGGTTTTGTGATGAAGAATTATGGGAAGGGGTGATTTTAGGTTGCTCTGCGGAGAACTCTCTAAGGAAATGACATTTGAGAGAATGAATGGCAAGAAAGAAGCAACTATGCAAAGATCAGAGGGAAGGACATTTTAGGGAAAGAACAGATGCAATGGTCCAAAAGTATGTGTGAGTGTGTGAAATCAAGTCACAGAAAAAAGACCAAAGCTGGCTGGTAGGAGGAAGCAAGAGGGACAAGATGAAGTCCAAGAGATGGTGGATTGTAGGTCTCATAGGACCCTAAATGTCTGTAATGGGCATGTGAGCTGAAAAAAAAGAAAAAACACTGATGACTTTTAAGTGGATGAATTGACATAATCCATGTACAAAAGGATCACCCTGGAAATGGATTATAAGGAGGCAAGAGTGAACATAGGGAAAGAAGTTGGGAGGCCACTTCCATACAGAAAGATGAGAGTAATGCAGAGCATCTTTTTTCAAACTCACATGACTTTGCGTCTGCCAGATTTAAGAGGTAAGTTCTTTGCCTCCAGCAAGGAAGGGAGCAGTTTACTTGCTGTCTCGGGCAACATATACATAATGCCTTGTTTTTGCTTGACCTTGACCAATTTAACAGCTGCAAGATTTTGTATCACTTCGTTCAGGCTGGACTGAGAACCTAGACAGGGGTAAGGTAAGGTGAGAAATAATTGCCCATGTAGATGCTACAGAAGCTTGCTGGTGGAAATATACAGAATTTAAAGTCAGGCAGTGTTGCTTCTGATGTTGCCATTAACCATGTGACCATGCCTAAGTCACTCGTATGCAAGCAGATAATACTAGACATCCTGACTATATCACTGTGAAATCAATGAGAAATGGTATCTTAAAAATAGTAACCAACCTTGAGTGTGCACATAATTCATGCCCACATATTGGTCTAATACTACATTTAATTCTTCCATTGACCCTATGTTTTAGGTACTTTTACTACCCTCATTATTTTTACATATGAGGAAACTGAATAATAGATAAGTTACATCACTTGCTCAAATCACAAAGCAAGTAACAGGAAGAGCAAGGATGCCACCCTAGAGAATCTGACTCTGGAGGGCATGTTCACACCCAGGGTTGTTCTTGTGACCTGGAGGTGCTCCCTGGCACAACTGTCATTCTTATTCTAAGAATGGAAGGCCAGAGGGGGAGCTCTGCTCTCACACCTTATCACCCTAAGGGACCCTGAATATGTCTGCAAAATATATCATGAATCCTCAGCTAACAAGAAATTCCATTACTCACAGTTCCTTGTGTCAAGTCTATAGTTTGCAATGTTTGAATTGGGATAGCAGCTGGTGCAAAGAATGAACATCAAGCTGAGTGGGGTTTGGTAGAGCTTCCTACCCCTACAAAGGCTTTAGGGGAATGTTCTCAGGATGAAAAGTGACCCTGCAGGTGTAGCCATGAACAGTCACAGAAGCCAGCACACATCCCAGATCCCTTACTTACTTTGGATTTGCAAATGTTGTTTCCAGTTGATGATACCTGATGCACCAAGGAATTCTTGACAGTTTTGGGGATTCTTAGAATAGACTTGGTAGGTGTTGGTGTAGTGATCAAAATCATCTGTCATTTCCTGTTTGGTTAGGTAATGTGGAATAAATAAAATTGAATATACCTAGTGATTAGAATACTTGGCCTTTGTATTTCATTATACTGTGCTATTTTATAAACTTATAAATATTGATATTTTTCTTGATGTATTATCATTATTCCTGAATCATTTAAATCATGAGAGCAAGTCAGGGATTTAATCAATTATTCAATTTATGGTTAAGAAAAACTTGCTAAACTAGGTATTTATATGTTGTGTTACAACTTCAAATCAACCAAATGTACACCGGTTTAGAAAGCATTCTTCTATAATTCTGTAATCCTCAGGAGAAAGAAATTACTGTCAAAGGCAAGCTTCCATTGCAAGAGTAAATCTTATTCTATCTAAAAGAGTCTCAAAAAAAAAAGAGTCTCAGAACATACGGATTATAAACATAACAATATTGAAATTGACACAGGTAACCTTGTATTGGAATTTTCACTTACATGTGATATAGCTACACAAAAGAAAGGCACATGATGTCCTTATTTTTTATTTTAAATTTTTTTATTTAAGTGTAATGAATATACAACATTTTATCAGTTTCAGGTGTACAATACAATGATTCAACAATTCTGTACATTACTCGGTGCTCATCACGATAAATGCACTCTTAATCCTCTTCACCTTCACTCATCCCCCTCCCCCCCCGCCGCCTCTGGCAACCACCAGTTTTTTTTTCTGTATTTTAGAATCTATTTTTTGTCTCTTTTTTCTCTGTTCGTTCATTTGTTTTGTTTCTAAAATTCCACATATGAGTGAAGTCATGTGGTATTTGTCTTTCTCCGACTGACTTATTTAACATTATACCCTCTAAGTCCATTCACATTGTTGTAAATGACAAGATTTCATTTTTTTTTTGGCTGAGTAAAATTTCATTATATATATATTATATATACATACATATATAAAAAACATTTTTTCTTTATCCATTCATATATTGATGGACAATTGGATTACTTCAATATCTTGATTATTGTAATAGTCCTGCAATAAACATAGGGGCACATATATCTTTTCAAATTATTATTTTCACTTACTTTGGGTAAATACCCAATAGTAGAATTATTGGATCACATGGTAATTTAATTTTTAAGTTTTTGAGGAACCCCCTTATTGTTTTCCATACAGACTGCACTAATATACATTCCTAACAGTGTACAAGGGTTCCTTTTGCTCCACAACCTCACCAAAACTTACTTCCTGTGTTTTTCATTTGAGCCATTCTGATAGGTATAAAGTGATATCTAATTGTGGTTTTAATTTGCATTTCCCTGATGATTAGTGATACTGAGCATCTTTCATTGTGTCTGTTGGCCATCTGTATGTCTTCTTTGGATAAATGTCTGTTCAGGTCCTCTGCCTATTTTTTAATTGGGTTATTTTTTTTTTTTGGTGTTGAGTTGTATAAGTTCTTCATATATTTTGGATATTAACCCCTTATTGGACACATGATGTCTTTAAAATGTAAACCACAGAAGACATGAACAGACACTTCTCAAAAGAAGACATACAAATGACTAACAGACACATGAAAAAATGTTCATCATCATTAGCCATCAGGGAAATTCAAATCAAAACCACATTGAGATACCACCTTACACCAGTTAGAATGGCAAAAATTGACAGGCCAAGAAACAATAAATGTTGGAGAGGTTGTGGAAAAAGGGGAACCCTCTTACACTGTTGGTGGGAATACAAGTTGGTACAGCCACTTTGGAAAACAGTGTGGAGGTGCCTCAAAAAATTAAAAATAGAGCTACCCTATGACCTAGCAAGTGCACTCCTGGGTATTTACCACAAAGACACAGATGTAGTGAAAAGAAGGGCCATATGCACCCCAATGTGCATAGCAGCAATGTCTGCAATAGCCAAACCATGGAAAGAGCTGAGATGCCCTTCAACAGATGAATGGATAAAGAAGATGTGGTCCATATATACAATGGAATATTACTCAGCCATCAGAAAGGATGAATACCCAACTTTTACATCAACATGGATGGGACTGGAGGAGCTTATGCTAAGTGAAATAAGTCAAGCAGAGAAAGTCAATTATCATACGGTTTCACTTATTTGTGGAACATAAGGAACAGCATGGAGGACATTAGGAGAAGGAAAGGGAAAATGAAGGGGGGAAATCGGAGGGGGACATGAACCATAAGAGACTATGGACTCTGAGAAACAAACTGAGGGTTTTAGAGGGGAGGGGGGTGGGAGGGATGGGTTAGCCTGGTGATGGGTAAAGGAGGGCACGTACTGCATGGAGCACTGGGTGTTATACAAAAACAATGAATCCTGGATCACTACATCAAAAACTAATGATGTATTGTATGGTGACTAACATAATAAATAAAATAAAATTAAAAAAAATAAAATGTAAACCACAATGCAGTATTATTTAAAAAATAATTTGCATTCCCCAAAACATTGAAACACAAAATTTGTTCAAAAATATCTTCTCAAATTTAACAAATGAGAGTTGAGTTTTTTTGAAGATGAAGGAAGGAGTCAGGAAACAACTACCCAACAAGGGTAGAATAGCTAGAAAGTGCTTCACAGAAATGCACTCATAGCTTCATTTTTTATTTCAATAATTAATGTAAATGTCTTCATTTTTGTAATCTGCTTAGTTCAGTGTTTTTGAAAAGCACTATATATATTTAAATTTTATTTGTAAATTTTATATTAAGATGATATTATATGATTACATATTTTGCATGCATAAATTTTTACTTTATATTTTCCAATATGCTTATATTTGTATTTGAAATGTGTTAACTACTTAGTTTGAGTGATCTTTAAAAGTTGGCACTGAAAATATATTCCTAAATAAAGGCATTGCAATTTGTTCTTTATATTTTCTTAACGTTCTTCATATTTACCTCTACATATTTTTAGGTGTTATTTTTTCTGTTTAGAATGCACCTTCTATTCTTGTCAGCCTGCCAAAGACCTATTTATCTTCAAAATCCAGTCTTGGGGAAATGTCTACCTAGAAGGCCCTCTGATCCTTTACTTGCATACCCTGACATCTGTGGTTTTAATCATCTCTTGGATAGTACTGCTTATATCTTGTATGTTGTATGTTCTTATATGTTTTTGTACATTTTCACTCCATGTTGTAATTTATTCACTTATCTATCTTTTCCTCCAGGCTGTGAGCTTCTTGAGGACAGGGACTTGCTCACCATCACATAATTCATTTCTATATCCCCTAGGTCTACCACATTGCCAGGTGCTTGGTAGGCACATAGCGAATAAGAACACAAAAATGTACTCCACATCTGGCACCTTACCTCCTCCTGAGGGCGGATAACCACTGTTGTAAAATCAGGCCACTTGTCCACCAGGGCCTTCAGCTTGAATGGGTCTCCCTGGTTCATGTGGAAGACAGTCCCATAAACCTGTGCCATCCCAAGAAAATCGGGGGGTCAGCTCATTGGGAAAGGATGGTACAGTGCCTTGTTTGATCAGGACAAGGATTATTTCTATGAAATCAAGGTGACAACTGATAGGGCATGTGGTTTAAATCACCTTCAGATTCCACTTTATTACTCCAAATAGAAGGAGGTTTGGGGGTCAAACCATGAGAACATTATATGAATACAATTAACCATTCAGATAAATAAGTTAATTAAAAATCATCCACTATCACATTGTAGAACTTAGTGTTGTATCTTTCCATTTTATTTCATTTATTGACAAATACACATACAATTTTTAAGCAATGAAATTAACTAATATATATTAGTTTAACACGTGTTCCACACACACACACACACACACACACACACACACACACACACACACACACTATACTATGGGCATATTTCCATGTCAAAAAACACAAATTTATATAATCATTTTTAAGGACTGCATAATATCCATCATATTAAAGAACTCCAGTTCAGTTTTTTTTTCTGCACCTATTAAGAGAAGATCATCTGGCTTTTTTTCTTTAATCTATTGATACAATGATATACACATTGATCTTTGAACGTTGAACCTGCCTTGCAGTCTCCTGATAAACTCCCCTTGGTTATAATGTATTATCCTTTTGATATATTGATGGATTTGACTTGATAGTATTTTGCTGAGGATTTTTTGCATCTATGTTCATGAGGAATATTGTTCTCTAGTTCTCTCTTTTTTTAAATAAAGTCTACCTCTGGTTTTGATATTAGGGTAATTCTCGACTCATAAAATGAGTTGGGAAGTATTTCCTCCTCTGATCTATTCTGCAAGAGTATGCATAGAATTGATATTATTTCTTCCTTCCATGTGTGGTAGAAATTGCCATGAAAGCCATCTGAGCAATGGTATTTTCTTTGTTGGAAAGTTTTAAATTATGAAATCAATTTCTGCAGTAGATACAGGATGATAAAGGTTATATTTTTCTTCTTCAGTGACTCTTGGTAATTTTTACTTTCCACAGAACATAAATTGTGAAATCTATGGGCACAGTTGATAATGGTATGTCTTTATTATCCTTATATTGTTTATGGGGTTGGTATTAATGTCCCCTATTTCATTCCTGATTTGATTTGTGTCTTCCCTATGCTTCTCTGAGTCAGAAGTTTATCAATATTATTGATCTTTTCAATGAGCCAGATTTGATTCATTTTCTTAATTGGTTTTCTCCTCTCAAATTCATTGGTTTCTGCTCTTATCTTTTATAATTTCCTTAATTCTGTTTGCTTTGGAGTTAATTTATTCTTCTTTTTCTGGTTTTTCAGGTGGAGACTTAAAACACTGATTTGAGACCATTTTTTTTTCAAGAAATCACTTAATGCTATATATTTCCCACTTATCACTGCTTTGGCTGCATCCCAAAACTTTTGATATGTTGTGCTTTCATCTTTATTCAACTCAGATATTTTCTAATTTTCCTTACGGCTTTGAAGTATGGTTTATTTAGAAATGTGTTGTATATTTGTAAAATTTGAGTGTTTTTCTAGATACCTTCCAGTGTTTTTTAAAGTTTAATATCATATTACTGAAGGACATACTTGTTATGTTTCAGTTCTTTAAAAAGTCTTGAAAATGTGATCTTTGTACACGTTCCGTGTGCACTTGGAAAGAATGTGTATTCTGCTATTGTTGAGGGATGTATTCTGTAAATGTCAATTAAGTTGGTTCATAGTATTTTTCAGGTCTTCTATATAGGTTATAAGTTTTCTGCCTATTCTCTAAATTACTTAGGAGTGTTAAAATCTTCAGTTACACATATGGGTTTATCTATTTGTTCTTTCAGTTCTATTGGTTTTTGTCCATGTCCTTTGAACCTCTGTTGTTACGTGTATACATTTAAGCATTTTTAATGTCTTCATCGTGAATTTATACCTTTATTAAAATGCAGTGGCCCTCTTTATCCCTGTAATATTCTAGTCCCTTTGCAATATATATTATTGCCTCCCCAATAAAACCCCCACCTCTTTATATACAAAATCATTGATCCATTTCTAAAATAAAATTTCTATCTCATCCCATATTAAACATAAGCTTTTGGAATTTGACAAAATAGAAATTGGCCTATCATTAATTTCAAAGAAGAATCATAATGGTTAACTTTTGTCAGGCACTTGATTGTTTAGAAAGAATAAGTTAAACATTAATGTGTTATTTCAGTCAACTGTGAAATTCTGGGAAATCTTCCAGTGTTATATAATATAATTCTTGGAATGGCACAAAGAGATGTTTTTGGATCAATCACACAGCAAAGATCACAGTGGATTTAAATCATATGATTGCCACTCACTAGTGGTGTGATCTTGGTCAAGTCTTAAAACTGAGCTTGCATTTCCTCTTTGGTTATATGGATATAACAGACTTGCCTTCCAGTTAGGTGATGTAAGCTAAATGAGATGTAAGACGAGTGAGTGCCTGGCACAGAGTTGGTGCTCAGAGAATGCTTGTTTTCCTCCCTACTTCTTTCATGGGCATTTGCTAGTCCTTCCCCCCCACCCCACAAGAATGTTCTGTCACCTTTAAGGACTCTGGGATGCTCTTCCTCAAGGATTTCTCTAGCATCTGTAGCACTTGTGGGCCTTGTAAGTGGAACATCTTGGCCTTAACCTAAAGAGAAGAACAAGAAATATTAAGGAATGCAAAGCAATGGAAAACATACAAAGACACAAAACAGACACAACAGGCAGTTCTAACTAATGGTCAGACCTTTATTCTTGTTGTTTTATTGGTGCCCCATTCACTGAACTCCTCACTAACTCCTGGGAAGAATAAGACTGGCAGAAATCACAGGTGCATCTTTCCAAAACTATTTTTTAATATTTTCTAAGCTTTTAAAAATTTTTATGAAATTTTTATTTTAATTTTTATATCACCCAGTATACCAATAATTAAGGATGCACTACAGTGACCATATATACTATCTAAACATGCATGAACATCTTTGAGATTAAGTTCCCAACCATGACAAGCCTGAGTCTGCCACTTAGAAGCTATATGATGTTGGGCAAATTACTTAATTCCTCTGTTCCTTGGTTTCCTCGTTTATAAAATGGCAATGACTATAGTGTCTGTCCCGTAAAGTAGTTGTGCCAGTTAAATAAATCAAATACATGTGAGGTGCTTTGACCAGTGCATTTGAGCAAACACTTTTATTCCTCTTGAGTAAATATGTAGAAGTGCATTTGCATGGTCATATAGTAAGTATATATTTAACTTTATTAAAAAATGCCAGACTGCTTTTCCAAAGTGGCTGAACTATTTTATATTCCCTTAGCAGTGTTTGAGTTCCATTTGCTTTTCATTCTCTCCAGCACTTCTCCAAATGATTTTCTTATGTAGCCATATTCAGGAATCATTGCTATAATAGGTAACAGATAAATCTGCAACAATACCCTTCAGGGGTCAGAGAGAGGAAGATAACTAGGCTCACCTCATCCCACAAACAAAACTAGGTAAATATCAAATCATCCTAAATACCCCAGAAATCTACCTGAAGACTGGCAGAACAAACTCCACAACTAGAGAGAGAGAGAAAAGGTCACACCAAGGAAGGTAGAGGTGTGGAGATGTGGTTTGGGGGAGAAATGGATCAAGGGTGCTGTATAAGGGAGGGAGGTATGGTCTCAGAGAAAGGTGAGAGAGAGAGAGAGGAACACATGGGTATGTACAAGGAGAATGTCCAAAGCTATTGGCTTGAAAAATGAGAGGGGCTGATTTTTGTGAGCTCTTGCAACCAGCAGGGCTTAAAGTCTGAAGTTTTAAAGATAAGCAGGCTCAGCTGGCACCATTTTCCTCCCCCATGCTCAGCACAAACACAAAACCAACTGCGGGAAGCAACTCAGCACAGACACTGGCTGCATAATCTGCTTACACCAAGGCCCACCCCACTGCACTCTGGCAGGACTGCCCTTCTCAGTCAAATTTGCCTTGGTCCCAGCATGACAGTCCCGTCCTCCAGAAGACCAGCACAAACCCCTGCCCACACTACATCTCCTGACCAGAGAGTTCTGCAGGGTCTCAGTTCTGGAGTAGGTGTCAGGTCTCATTTCACAAGCAGACCAGAGCACACCTAGTTAAAATTCACCACATTCAGGCTGGGGACCGAACAATACCCACTGCATGCAAGGACCCTCTGCAGATGACTGGCCTGAAGCATAGAGCAGCTAAAACAACAAGAGCAGAACACATACAGCATACTAGAAGTCAACCACAAGAAAAAAAGACCACAAATACATGGAGGTTAAACAACATGCTACTAAACAATGAATAGATCAACCAGGAAATCAAATAAGAAATTTTAAAAATACATGGAAAAAATATAAATGAAAATACAGTAGTCCAGGAGAAGAAGCAAGATGGCGGAGGAGTAGGGGACCCTGTTTCAACCGGTCCCCTGAATTTAGCTGGATGTCTATCAAACCATTCTGAATACCCATGAAATCAGCCTAAGATATAAGAATATATATTTGGATCTTTGCAAGCAGAAAGGCCTCATAGTGGAGAGGTATGAAGGGTGGAGTGTGAATCTGTGGGCAGATATCAGAAGACAAACAGAAGGGGGAGGGAGCCTCCATAAGCTGACACCTGGAAAGTGATATAACACTGGAGCACAAAAGCATACCACATTGGGGACCAGGCACAAATTTGCAGAACGGTAGCGGCTGGGAAGGGCTGTAGAACAGCCCCCAGACAGGATCCAGGAGTTGCAGGTGCATCCAAGCAAACCAGGGGCAGCTCCTGGTTTTAGAAGCACAAAGGGCAGAGACATGCCCTGGCCCTGGGATCGACCTCTGGGAGAGTTGCTGTGGGTGCACACCAGCCCGGGAGGCTGCAGTTTTTAGCAGCACAGACAGAAACAGAGATTGTGTGTCTTGGAGGGCTCAGTGAAGAGCAGACCACGATTTCTCTGCCCTGGGACAGAGGTTTGGGTGTGGCCATTTTTGCTCTGACTCTCAGCAGCCAGAGAACAAAAGCTCAAAAAATCGGTTTTCACTGAGTCCATCCCCCCCCAACAGGGGGCAGGGCAACTCTGCCCAAACAGGGTTGCCTGAGTAACAGCGTCAGCAGGCCCCTCCCCCAGAAGGCAGGCTGGAAGAACAAGAGGATGACAACCCTAAGGTCCCTATAAAACGAGTGCATCTTGCTTGGGTTGTGGTTAATACATTGGACTCTGTACATTCTCTCAACCACCCCTCAACAGAATGACTAAGAGGAGGAACCCCCCAAAAGAAAAGAACCAGAGACTATGGCCTCTGCCACAGACCTAATGGCTATGGATATAAGCAAGATGTCAGAGGTAGACTTCAGAGTAGCAATTATGAAGTCGATATCTAGGCTTGAGAAAAATATTAGCGACAATATAGAATCTCTAAGGGCAGAAATGAGATCTAATCAGGCCAAACTTAAAAATGCCATGAATTAGAGGCAATCTAAACTGAATACCCTGACAGCCAGGGTAAATGAGGCAGAAGAACGAATTAGTGAGCTAGAAGATGATAGAAAGGAAGGAAGCCAAGGAGGCCTGGGATAAACAGCTAGAAACCCATGAGAACAGACTTAGAGATCAGTGATACCATGAAACATTCCAATGTCAGAATTATTGGGATCCCTGAGGGGGTGGAGAGACATAGAGGAATAGAAGGTATATTTGAGCAAATCGTAGCTGAGAACTTCCCTAATCTGGGGAATGAAACAAGCATTCATGTCCAAGAGGCAGAGAGGATCCCTCCCAAGACCAATAAGAACGGACCATCATCCTGGCATATAATAGTGAAACCTGCTAACTTAAGAACCAAGGAAGCTATCTTGAGAGCAGCTAGGGGGAAGAGATTTCTTACGTATGGAGGGAGGAACATCAGAAAACATCAGACCTGTCCACAGAGATCTGGCAAGCCAGAAAGGGCTGGCAAGACATATTCAGGGTACTAAATGAGAAGAACATGCAGCCAAGGATACTTTATCCAGCAAGGCTGTTGTTCAGAATGGATAGAGAGACAAGGAACTTCCTGGAGTGGCAGAAACTGAAAGAATATGTGACCACCAAGCCGGCCCTGCAAAAAATATTAAAAGGGATTCTATAAAAGAAGAAAGACCCCAAGAGTAATATAGACCAGAGATTTACAGAGACAATCCATAGAAACAGGACTTTACAGGCAATATGGTAACACTAAAATCATATCTTTCAATAGTCACTCTCAATGTGAATGGCCTAAATGCTCCCATGAAACAGCACAGGGTTGTGGATTGGATAAAAAGACATGACCCATCCATATGCTGTCTATAAGAGACTCATTTTGAACCTAAAGTTACCTCCAGATTGAAAGTGAGGGGATGGAGAACTACTTATCATGCCAACAGACTTCAAAAGAAAGCTGGGGTAGCAATTCTCATCAGATAAATTAGATTTTAAGCTAAAGACTGTAGTAAGAGTTGTAGAGGGACACTATATCATACTTAAAGGGTCTATCCAACATGAAGATCTAACAGTTGTAAATATCTATGCCCCTAACATGCGAGCAGCCATCTACATAAGCCAACTGTTAACCAAAATAAAGAATCATATTGATAATAATACTTTAATAGTAGGAGACCTCAACACTCCACTCTCAGCAATGGACAGATCATCTAAGCAGAAGATCAACAAAGAAACAAGAGCTTTGTATGACATATTGGACGAGATGGACTTCATAGATATATACAGAACATTCCACCCTAAAACAACAGAATACTCATTTTTCTCGAATGCACATGGAACTTTCTCCAGAATAGACCACATACTGGTTCACAAATCAGGTCTCAACCAATACCAAGAGATTGATATTATTCCCTGCATATTTTCAGACCACAATGCTTTGAAACTGGAACTCAATCACAAGAAAAAATTTGGAAGAAATTCAAACACTTGGAAGTTAAAGAGCATCCTGCTCAAGAATGTTTGTGTCAACCAGGAAATTAAAGAAGAACTTAAACAATTCATGGAAACCAATGAGAATGAAAACACATCGGTCCAAAACCTATGGGATACTGCAAAGATGGTCCTAAGAGGGAAATACATAGCCATCCAAGCCTCACTCAAAAAAGTAGAAAAATCCCGAATGCACAAGCTAAACTTACACCTAAAAGAGTTGGAGAAAGAACAGCAAATAAAACTTAAACCAAGCAGGAGAAGAGAAATAATAATGATTAGAGCAGAAAGCAATGAAATAGAAATCAGAAAAACAGTAGAACAGATCAATGAAACAAGAAGCTTGTTCTTTGACACAATTAATAAGATCGATAAACCTCTGGCCAGCTTTACCCAAAAGAAAAGATAAAGGACCCAAATTAATAAAGTCATGAATGAAAGGGAGAGATCACAACTAACACCAAGGAAATAAAACAATTATTAGAAATTACTATCAGCAATATATGCCTGGAAAAAAATTAAGCAGCCTGGAAGAAATGGAAGCCTTCCTGGAAACTTATAAACTACCAAGACTAAAACAGGAAGGAATAGACAATCTGAATAGACCAATAACCAGTAACAAAATTGAAGCAGTAATCAAAAACCGCCCCAAAAAACAAGAGTCCAGACCAGATGGCTTCCCAGGGGAATT